AATCTCCTCTGCACCCTTTCCAATGCTTCCACATCCTTCCTATAATGGGAATGTTTGATGGGGGACTGTGCAGAAGGAGCTTTACTTTCAGTTTAAAAGATTAGAGGGAACTTTTACACTGTTTCCAACCCTTTGCTGTATCTCTCCTGGGAGTGTTTAATGGTGACATTGTCAAAGGAGCTTTACCTTTTTAGTTTGCTTTCAGTTTAAAAGATTAGAGAGAGCTTTACTGTGTGTACCCAAGCTCGTGCTGTACCTGTCCTGGGAGTGTGTGTGTTAGGGATTGTGTTAAAAGTGGAGGAAGCTTTACTCTGTTCCTGATGTACTAATTACTCTTGTTGAATTAATCTCCGGGTTTTAACCCTGCTGTTCCCGGGAATATTGATTCTGGTTGAATCCTGACCTTCACTAAGTGCCTGTCATTGGGCTGTGATTGTGCTGGGGTTACTGTAAGCAGCAGTTCAATCAGTTATAAATCATTAACCATGATGTGTGATAGATTAGTGGACCTGTAAGGTGAATAGCCTTTTTCTAATCTGATGTGTGGATATTAGCTCTTACAAACTTTTTATGCGTTAACAGGAAGCCAAGATGTCGATAAACTTTCTGACCCTAGCATTGAATTACTTGTCAATAAATCTGACACAAGTGCTTTGTGTGTGCTTACACAGAAAGAGGCTTATCTTAATCAGGATGACAGCAAGCCACACTTCAGTTGGGAGAGAGTGTTGAGATTGGAGGGGCTTTCTGGAGATGGTGGGTAGATTGTGGGGTTTTTTGCCTTTGTTACAAGGCAGCCATCAGTTTGAAATATATTTCAGTGTTTTCAAACAGACAGTGACCAGCAAAATCCCTTTACAGTGACAGAGTTACTGTTTATTTCGGGGTCATTCAGGAACTGGTTATTGGCTGTTGTTTTCCCCATGGTGTGTGTTAGTGGAACCCCCCAGTAAATGGGTCTCTGCTAACCAATTTCTTTCAAGCCCATTTGAGTTTGTTTCCTTGTTTATTGGCTGTGGGTATCACTGGCTGGGCCCAGCATTTATTTCCTGTTCCTAGACTTCCCCCTTGAGAAGGTGGGGATGAGCTGCCTTCTTGAACCGCTGCAGTCCATGTGCTGTAGGCTGACCCACAGTTGGGACGGTGTGGGATTTGAAGGGGGGCTCGTACCTGCCTGGTGGTGTCTGCCTGGTGCTTTTGTCCTTCAGGCTGGTGGAGACTGTGGGTTTGGCAAATACTGAGGAGGCACAGTGAGTTCTTGCCTATTGTATCACTGGCCTGTTCTTGATGAGCAAAGGAGGGGCGAAAGATTGAGAGTGGATGAGACTGTAGGTTAATCAGATCAGCCCAGATCGTTTTGAATGGTGGAAAGGGGTCAGTGAACTGAATGGTCTGCTCCTACCCTTCATTTGTTTGATCCCATGGCCTTCATCGCCATTTCCTGTGTATATGGTCATGGTGCACCATGTTCAGTCTGTGTAGGTGGTTTAACTGTCCTTTGGCTAACTGTCCTTTGGAATGATTGTGTCTTTCTGTTTGGGTAGGTGGGACTATTCCAGGAACTTAATTTCCATCTCCTGATTTTTGCTCACCTCTCATTGAGTCATAGAGCATAGAAATAGGCCCTTCGGCCCACCATGTCCATATTGAGCAACAAACACCAAAACGCACTAATCCCATTTACCTGCACTTGATCTGTAGCCTCCTATGCCCTGACGTTATAAGTACTTGTCCAGATACTGCTTAAATGTTGGTGATGATCGTTTCGTCCTCCCTGTCCATGGGTATAGTGCCGGAAGATTGGAGAGTCAAACGTCATTCCCTTGTTCAAAAAAGAGAACAGGGATAACCCTGGAAATTACAGGCCAGTTTTCTTACGTCAGTGGTGGGCAAATTATTGGAAAGGGCTCTAAGAGATAGGATTTATGATCACTTGGAAAGGCACAGTTTGATTTGTGATAGTCAGCATGGATTTGTGAGGGGTAGATCATGCCTCACAAACCTTATTGAATTCTTTGAAGAAGTGACCAAACATGTGGATGAAGGTAGAGCAGTGGATGTGGTATACATGGATTTAAGTAAGGCGTTTGATAACGTTCCCCATGGAGGCTTATGCAGAAAGTAAGGAGGCATGGGATAGTGGGAAATGTGGCAGATTGTCTTCTAAGGGTCAGCCAATTCTGAATCCAAAGGGTGGTAGTGGATGGAAAATATTCAACATGGTGCTCAGTTACAAGTGGTGTACCATAAGGGTTTGTTCTGAGTCCTCTTCTTTTGTGATTTTTGTAAATGATTTGGATAAAGGAGTGGAAGGGTGGATTAGTAAGTTCGCGGACGATATGAAGGTGGGTCGAGTTGTCGATAGTGCGGAGGGCTGTTCTAGGTTACAAAGGGACATTGATAGGATGCAGAGCTGAGCTGAGAAGTGGCAGATGGAGTTTAACCCTGAAAAGTGTGAGGTGATTCATTTTGGAAGGACAAACTTGAAAGCAGAATACAGGGTTAACGGAAAGGTTCTTGGCACTGTGGAGGAGCAGAGGAATCTTGGGGTTCATGTTCACAGTTCCCTGAGAGCTGCCACCCAGGTGGATAGAGTTATTAAGAAGGCGTATGGTGTGTTAGCTTTCATTAATAGAGGGATTGAGTTCAAGAGCCGTGAAGTTATGCTCCAGCTATACAAAATCCTGGTTTGGCCACATCTGGAGTATTGTGTCCAGTTCTGGTCGCCTCATTACAAGAAAGATGTGGAAGCGTTGGAAAAGGTGCAGAGGAGATTTACCAGGATGTTGCTTGGAATGGAGGGAAGGCCTTACGAGGAAAGGTTGAGAGAGCTAGGGCTTTTCTCTTTAGAACGTCAAAGGATGAGAGGTAACTTGATAGAGGTGTACAAAGTGATCAGAGGTATAGATAGAGTGGACAGCCAGAGACTTTTTCCTAGGGTGGAGGTATCTATTACGAGGGGGCATAGTTTTTAAAGTGAGCGGAGGTAGACATAGGGGAGACGTCAGAGGTAGGTTCTTTACTCAGAGAGCGGTCGGGGCGTGGAATGCATTGCTGGAGAGGGTAGTGGAGTCGGCCTCATTAGGGGCATTTAAGCGGCTATTAGATAGGCAGATGGATGATAGTATAAGGTAGGGGTGGAGGTTCGATAGACCTTTAGATTTAGGGTAAAAGTTCGGCGCAACATCATGGGCCGAAGGGCCTGTGCTGTACTGTTCTATGTTCTAGTACCTGCCTCCACGAACCCCTCAGGCAGTGCATTCCATATTGCTACCACCCTCTTGGTGGGGTTCGGGGAGTGGAATTCTTTTTCTCAGATCTCCTCTAACCCACTAACTCCTCACCTTAAACTATGCCCTCTGGCCCTAGACATTACCTGCCATGGGCAAGAGATTCTCAAGATCTAATCTGGCTGCCTCTCATGATTTTGTATACTTCAATGAGATCCTCCTGTGCTCCAGGGAAAACAAACCCATCCTATCTTGTCTCTCCTCATAACTGAGTCTTGCCATCACAGGCAACATCCTGGTGAAAGTCCTCTGCACCCTCTACAATGCAATCACATTTGTCGAATAGTGACCGGAACTGTACACAGTATTCCATCTGTGGCCTAACCAATGTTTTATAAAGTTGTAACAAAACACTCTTGCTTCTATAGTCTATGCCCCAGCTAATGAAAACAAGCAACCCGTATGCCTTCTTCCCTAACCTGTGCTCACACCTTCATGGACTTGTATATCAAGGTCCCTTTTGTTCCTCAGTACTCCCTAGGGAGCCACCATTCATTGTGTATACCCTTCCCTTATTAGACCTCCCAAAATGCATCATATATTGCACTTATCAGGATTAAAATCCATCTGCCATTTCTCTGTCCAATTTACCAGCTGATCAATATCAGTCTGTATCCTGAGACCATCGCCCTCGCTTTCAGCAAAACCAGCAATTTTCATGTCGTCTGCAAATTTTATTAATTAAACCTTTTACATTCACAGCCAAGTCATTAACGTAAATAACAAACAGCAAGGGTCCCAGCACTGATCCCTGTGATAAACCACTGGTCACAGATGTTCTTTTACAAAAACATCCCTTCACCAATATGCCTTGCCTCCTATTTATAAGCTAATTTTGGAACCAGTTTGCCAACTTGCCTTGGATCCCATGGGCTCTGACCGTTTTTGCACCAGCCCTCCATGTGGGACCTTGTCAAAGGCTTTACTGAAGCCCATGTAAACCATATTAACCGCACCAGCCTCATCAATATATTTAATCACCTCTTCAAAAAACTCAAATGTGCTAGGATATCTCCTTGACAAATCCATGCTGACTATCCCTGATCAATCCTTGCCTTTTCAACTGCTGATTAATTCTGTTCCTCAGAATTTTTTTCCAATAATTTCCCTCCCACTGACATCGGACTAACTGGTTTGTAATAACCTGGCCTATCCCTGCTGCCCGTCTTGAACAAAGGAACCACATTAGCTATCCTCCAGTCAGCTGGCACTTCATCTGTAGCCAGCAAAGTATTAAATATCTTTACCACAGCCCCAGAAACATCCTCCTGTAGCAGCCTGGGATACATCTCATCAGGCCTTGGGGATTTAGGCACCCGTATGCCTGCTAAAATATCTAATACCTCTTCCTTATTCATCATTAGCATGATCTAGAACCTCACCAACCCAACTGATTAGCTCCAGTTAGAATGGCTTTCTCCTCTGTGACTACAGACAAGAAATATCTATTTAAGACCTCACCCATGTCCTGTGGCTCCACACAGAGATTTTCCTTTTGATCTCTAATTGGCCCTGCTCTTTCTCTGGTAATCCACTTGCTCTAATATAGATAGGCTCTTGATTAGTGAGAGGATCAAGAAATATGGGGAGAAGGGAGGAGAATGGGGTTGTATATCAGCCATGTTCGAATGGTGGAACAGACTCGATGGGCCGAATGGCCTAATTCTGTCGATGGTACATTTTGCAGTCTTATTAAATCCTCCGATTTGTAGGGACACCAGGGACAATGGGTGACGCTGTCTCTATGTGTTTTTTTTCTCTGCAGGGTGGATAATTTTGGCCTGGGGCTCATGCTCCAGACCAAGCAGATCAAACGCATGGTGGCATCGTATGTGGGCGAGAATGCGGAGTTTGAGCGACAGTATCTATCGGGGGAGCTGGAGGTCGAGCTGACCCCACAGGTGAGAAACTGAGTGGCAGCTACATTTCCACTCTCTGCGTGAGGGGCTGGGTATTCGGGCAATAATAAATGATACTGCCCTCCTCCCCTGCAACCCCACCCACCCTGCCACTTCCACCATCAGGGACAGACCCAGCGGAGCGTAGCATTATCTTCCCCCCCCCTCTGTTGGTGGTCAGCGCCCCCCCCCCCCCCCCCCCAGCCCCTTGGTGGCAAGACTTCAAGGAAGTGAACCCAGTCTCAATACAGCAAGGTGCAGGGCTGGATGAACACAGCAGGCCAAGCAGCATCATAGGAGCAGAGAGGCTGACGTTTCGGGCCTAGACCCTTCATCAGAAAAGGGGGAGGGGAAGGGGGTTTTGAAATAAATAGGGAGAGAGTGGGAGGCGGATAGAGGAGAGGATAGGTGGAGAGGAAACAAACAGTTCGAAGAGGTGGGGATGGAGCCAGTAAAGGTGAGTGTAGGTAGGGAGTTAGGAAGGGGATAGGTCAGTCCAGGGAGGACGGACAGGTCAAGGGGGCGGTATGAGGTTGGTCGGTAGGAGATGGGGGTGCGGCTTGAGGTGGGAGGAGGGGATAGGTGGGAGGAAGAACAGGTTAGGGAGGCAGGGACGAGCTGGACTGGTTTTGGGATGCGGTAGGGGGAGGGGAGATTTTGAAACTTGTGAAATCAGCAATGGGCAGCTTTACTCTGTATCAAACCCCATGCTGTCCCTGTCCTGGGAGTGTTTGATGGGGGACAGTGTAGAGGGCAGATTTATTTCAAGTTTAAAGTAATTGAGGGAGCTGTACTCTGTAAGGAATCTGTCTGTGTTCTGGGAGTGTTTGTTAATAATTTTGAGTGTGATTTATTTTCTATGTATAACTGAACAGGGTTTATTTTTTGAACTGCAGTTAGTGTGGGGGGCCCCGTACAATTTGGACAGTGTCCCGGGGTTTGGGACTGGTGCTAATGTGAATTCTCACATGATGGTACTGATTATTCACCTGGCTTCTCTCTCTAGGGAACTTTGGCTGAAAGAATTCGAGCTGGGGGTGCAGGTATTCCTGCATTTTTCACCCCCACTGCCTACGGCACGCTGATTGAGGAAGGAGGGGCCCCAATAAAATACAACAAGGATGGCAATATCGGCATCTCCAGTGAACCCAGAGAGGTAATGCTGTGCATTTCGTTTGCCCCCTGTCACCGAGCGCACCCCGACCCCTGTTACTGTGGTCATCAGTCTTTGGGTGCTGATAGTAACAACATCTCTGTCTGTCCGTCCCTCCCTTTCTCCCTCCAGTCCGCAGTTGGTGCTCCTTTTGATTTGATTGGGATGATTTCTGAGTGAATCGGGATTGTGAGGCAGGAGTTACATGTAGGATCAGGAATTCTGCTTCCTGTTATCACTGCTGCCTCGCTGTGCCAGGGACCTGCGTTCAATTCTATCCTCGGGCAACTGTCTGTATGGACTTTACATATTCTCCCCGTGTCTGCATGGGTTTCCTCCGGGTGCTCCGGTTTCCTCCCACAGTCCAAAGATGTGCAGGTTAGGGTGGATTGGCCATGCTAAATTGCCCGTAGTGTTCAGGGATGTGTAGATTAGGTGGGGCTAGCCACGGGAATGCAGAGTTACAGGAATAAGGTAGGGGGCTGGGACTGGGTGGGATGCTGTTCAGTGGATCAGAGTGGGTTCGATGGACTGAATGGCCTGCTTCCACACTGTAGGGATTCTGTAATTTCATTGGGATTTTCAAACCATCTCGATGAGTAAGCGTGTGTGTGACCTTCCGTTAGCGCTGCATGAGCAAAGGGACTCGTATCCTCTGACCGTGTTGTCCTTCCTCCCTCGCTGTGTAGGAGTGTCAGCCTCGAGTCTGTGCTGCAGTCTCTGGGTTGGATGCTTGGAGCAAGAGGAGACCATTTCCGCCCTTTTTGAATGGTCATGACTGATGATCCAGCTCAGTCTCCTTGTCCTGCTTTCTCCTCATACTCTTGGATTCCCTTTTAGCCCCAAGAACTATATTGAACTCCTTGAAAACATCCAGTGTTTTGGCCTCAACCATTTTCTGTGACAGAGAATTTCACAGACTCCCCACTCTGGGTGAAGACATGTCTCCTCATCTTGGTTGTCATCTGGGGAGGCAATGGCCTAGTGGTATTGTCGCTGGACCTTTAATCTAGAGACCCAGGTAATGTTCTGGGGACCTGAGTTCAAATCCCACCACGGCAGATGGTGAAATTTCAATTCAATAAAAATCTGGAATTAAGAATCTAATGATGACCATGAATCCAATGCCGATTGTCAGAAAAGCCCATCTGGTTCACTAATGTCCTTTAGGAAAGGAAACTGCCATCCTTACCTGGTCTGGCCTACAAGTGACCCACAGCAATTTGGTTGACTCCTAATTATACAGAGGAGAGTTATGGATGGGCAATAAATGCTGCCTAGCCAACAACACCCTCATCCCACGAATGATTTAAAGAATGAAAGGTCCTAAACAATCTACCCCATATCCTTTTGACTGTGATCCCTGGTTCTGGATTCTCTGGTCATCGGGAACATCCTTGCTGCATTCACCCTCTCTAATCCTATTTCGAATTTTATTTTATAGGTTTCTGAGATTTCCCCCCTCATTCTTTTAAGCTCCATTGAAAACAGTTACACAGCCCCTTGTACCTCACCCCACTTTCCCTCCCCCC